TAGTAGGCATTGATGAAGGGGTAGTTATTGCAGTGTTCGGAGCCGTGGTCAAAGGAGAGCCTGGGGTCAGGGAATCGGGTGGGTTTACTTCGTTGGGGCTATTTGATAAAGGGGCAAGCCTCATTGCCCCTAACAGTGGGGATATATTTTCATTACTGGCCATGGTAAGCCTGGATTATGTTGGGGATAAAAACAGTCCACCCCTCAGGGTCCCCTTGAGGGGTAAGGGCTAGATTTTATATACCGTGCCCATGGCTCCCTCAGGCCGTTCAGGACTGGCACAAAGTCAGCCTTTCATCCTTTCAGCACGGCTCTCACACCTTAGGAGGTGGATAGCAGAAGGGTTTGGTGAAGGGACAGAAACAAAAGTGGGAAGGGAAAAAAAGACCATGCATAATTAGTTGAGTCGAGGGCTGAGTCCCAAGGTTGGGGAGTTCCCCATCATTGGGTCCCAGTCTCCGCAGGGGTAAGGGCTAGATCTAAATCAGGGGAATACCGTGCCCATGGCTCCCTCAGGCCGTTCAGGACTGGCACAAAGTCAGCCTTTCATCCTTTCAGCACGGCTCTCACACCTTAGGAGGTGGATAGCAGAAGGGTTTGGTGAAGGGACAGAAACAAAAGTGGGAAGGGAAAAAAAAAAAGACCATGCATAATTAGTTGAGTCGAGGGCTGAGTCCCAAGGTTGGGGAGTTCCCCATCATTGGGTCCCAGTCTCCGCCTCCTAAGCCCCCCCACGACAACAACGGACAAGGGATTGGGGGGGGAATCGGGTGGGTTTACTTCTTTGGGGCTATTTGATAAAGGGGCAAGCCTCATTGCCCCTAACAGTGGGGATATATTTTCATTACTGGCCATGGTAAGCCTGGATTATGTTGGGGCTAAAAACAGTCCACCCCTCAGGGTCCCCTTGAGGGGTAAGGGCTAGATCTAAATCAGGGGAATACCGTGCCCATGGCTCCCTCAGGCCGTTCAGGACTGGCACAAAGCCTTTCATCCTTTCAGCACGGCTCTCACACCTTAGGAGGTGGATAGCAGAAGGGTTTGGTGAAGGGACAGAAACAAAAGTGGGAAGGGAAAAAAAAGACCATGCATAATTAGTTGAGTCGAGGGCTGAGTCCCAAGGTTGGGGAGTTCCCCATCATTGGGTCCCAGTCTCCGCCTCCTAAGCCCCCCCACGACAACAACGGGCAAGGGATTGGGGGGGGGGGAGGGCGGGGGCGTGACGAAGATGGAGTAGTGTTGGGGGAAGTAGTGTTATGGGGAGGTGGGCTATAAGGCTGTGAGGTATTAATAAGGGAGGATGGGGTGGTTGATGTTGGAGGTTGTGGGGGTAGAGGTGTTGAAGTTGAGCATGCTGGGAGAGTGGAAATGTTCCTTGAGGGTTGATTGTTGGCTACTGTACTAGTAGGCATTGATGAAGGGGTAGTTATTGCAGTGTTCGGAGCCGTGGTCAAAGGAGAGCCTGGGGTCAGGGAATCGGGTGGGTTTACTTCGTTGGGGCTATTTGATAAAGGGGCAAGCCTCATTGCCCCTAACAGTGGGGATATATTTTCATTACTGGCCATGGTAAGCCTGGATTATGTTGGGGATAAAAACAGTCCACCCCTCAGGGTCCCCTTGAGGGGTAAGGGCTAGATTTTATATACCGTGCCCATGGCTCCCTCAGGCCGTTCAGGACTGGCACAAAGTCAGCCTTTCATCCTTTCAGCACGGCTCTCACACCTTAGGAGGTGGATAGCAGAAGGGTTTGGTGAAGGGACAGAAACAAAAGTGGGAAGGGAAAAAAAGACCATGCATAATTAGTTGAGTCGAGGGCTGAGTCCCAAGGTTGGGGAGTTCCCCATCATTGGGTCCCAGTCTCCGCCTCCTAAGCCACCCCACGACAACAACGGGCAAGGGATTGGGGGGGGGGGGTAGAAGAGGGGGAGTTAGATGGAGGGTTTAGGAGAGGATGTAGGAGCTTGGGAGGTAGGGGAAGTGGTAGAATGAGCAATATTACTGGAGTAGGGATTAAGAGAAAAACCTCGTCGACGTGCTTCCTGTCTGGCTCCAGACAGGAAGCAAACTGTCCAAGTTTGAATCTGAGAGTTGCTACCTCAGACTCAAATTTGTAGGTGGGGCAGCACCTATAAAATACATTATGAGGGCCACCACAATAAAGAAATATGTGTATAATTGTGCAAGGGAGTACTGTCCCTTGTCAGGGAAGCACATTTTGGTAAAAGGGATTTACAAGTGTGTATCCAGGAGGGAGTGGTACGGATAGTAGGGAAGGAGGTTTTGATGTGGGTGGAGCAGAGGATAGAACAGATTGAGAGGGAGTTTGGGAAATTTGAGGAGGAGGGTGGATGTCACTTTGAATGTACCCGGAATGAGGTTAGAGAAACTGGAGGATGGATGAGAGAGAGGAACATTCTCTTGAGTCTTACTTAGGGAGTTTCTAATGTCCTCAAGGGTTTCTGGGGGGTCTGAGGAGTAAAGGATGTAGATGTGGGAAGGGATGTGTTGGAGAAAATGGGGTGGAACATTTGGATTGCCTGGTATGATAGATACATCAAGGAATAGGGAGAGACATAGGGGGAGTTGTGGAGAGTCTAGATTTAGAATGGAAAATGAATTTGACTGGGTGATAGGGGAAGTGGAGGTGGGAAGTTGAGGAGTAGGGGGAAGTGGTACTGAGGAAGATGTAGAGACTACTTGGGTAGAGTAGGCACTGATTGAAAAACCTTGTCAGCGTGCTTCCTGTCTGGTCCCTCAGAGAGTGAGGCCAAGTTGTATCTGAGAACTGCTACCTCAAACTCAAACTTGTAGGCAGGGCAGCCTCTGTAAAATAAATTGTGGGAACCAATGCAATTATCACATAAATGTGATTGTGCAGGACAGTTTAAACAGTCATGGCCAGGTTGAGCTCAGAGAGGGCAGCAGGCTGTGGAGCAACAGTGCTTTGCAGGATGGCCAAAATGCCAGCATTTCTGACATTGACAAGGTAGAGGTTGGTATGGTCTGACAAGGCAAGATTCTCCTCTGATACAGACTTCACGGGGAAGGTCAATGTCTATGGAAGGTAATCTTGATAATATTGATGTGGGACTTATGATGGCCTCTCAGGGGGAATAGTGTAGTTGGGCAGGAATAGGTCTGCCAGTGAAGTCGACCAGGGTAGATAGTGCATAGGCTTGAGATTTGGATGTAACTGTGACAAGGCATGAGTGGTCAGGATGACTGCAGAAGGAAACTTTGACTATTTGCTTTTGGAGGCACTGTTGAAAGAGAAGGGTATTGGGATAATAAAAAAAATCTGTCCCATTTGGCTGGGCTAAATAGGGTACTCAAAAGGTTTGTAGAAGTGGAAATAGCAGAAGGGCGAGGACTGATGAAGGAGGGAGTAGTGTGTAATGAGATAGTGCTGTGGGAATGACGGCAACAGGGTTAAAGAGTTTTAATGAGGGAGGAGGAAGTAGAAAATGACAATCATTCTGCAGGAATTGGTTGGAGGATATTGGGAATGAGGAAGGGGAATTTTTTGAAGGTCGAGTTATAACCTGAGTAGATGATTAGAGATGGGTCAAGTTTACAGTTTGTATCAATGAGGAGGTGTAGTAGCAGTGTTCAGAGCCAAGATCAAAAGAGAGTCAGTGGTTGGTAAAGCAGAGGAGTTAGTTTCAACAGAAAGGCTATTTGATAAAGGGACAAGCATCAATGCCTCTACTAAGGGTAGAAAATCTTCATTACTGGCCATGGTAGGCCTATAATAGTTGGGAAGATAAAAGGTCCATTCCTCAGGGTCCCCATGTGGGGTATGCGCTAGGCAATAACCACGGGGATACCGTACCCATGGCTCCCTGAGGATGTTCATGACTGGCACAAAATCAGCCTTTCATCCTTTGAAAATAGCTCTTACACCCTAGGAATTGGACAAGGGAAGGGGTTGGGAAAGATAAGGAAAAGGAAGGTAGGAGAACAAAAGATTGCAAAATTAGTTAAGTTAAGGGCTGAGGCCCAAGGCAGGGGAGATCCCCAATGTTGAGCCTCAGTCTCCGTCTCCTAAGCCTCCCCACAACAAAAACGAGCATTCTCCTTCGACAAATTCCTTCATGCAAAGGAAAACCCTCATACTCACTTTCACTCCTTCTACCAGAAATTGGTTTCTATTATAGCATTTAAAATGTACTTGAGTCATGGAAGATTCTAAATCACACACACCTCAGAAACATTCATTGATACATGCACCAACTCATTCACTCATACACACTCACACTGACATTCACTCAGACTTTCCATAATAAAAGTGTTGATACAAGTGTCTACATCATAAAAGCGTATTCAGATCATGCAAGAATCTGAATTACATTAAGGTTTGGGGTAACTGTACATAGCAATGAATATCTTCAGCAATCATTGCTAGACCTATCTTACTACTGCATCCAGTGATGGCAACATCTTTTTATTCGCTAATCATAATATTTCTTTTACTAAAATCAGCATCTTCTTTACTTTAGTTAATATTTGCATAAGAAATGCATATCTGTAACATTTATAAGTGTGGTTCTTGTTTTTATTACTTCTCTGTGATTATTACACTTTAATATCTCTAAAAATGCACATAAATACATGATAAACAATAGAGTACATATAAATAAATGTGCCATAAATATACATCAAAGTACTTTCTCATTCCATCTCAGCAACCTCAATCTACCTCTTTTCCATCTCAGCAACTTCAGTCTACCTGATGAATGAATGACATAGCATCTGCTTAACAAGCAACATAACTAACCTTAAGAATTAATTAGCGACTAATACTGAACACGATATATCATACTACTATAGGACTGCAAATTATCACTGAATACATAAATATACATACAAATAATAACAATATCACCAATAGTAATAGTGATAGCAATAATAATAGCAACAATAATAACAATAATAATAATAATAATAATAATAATAATAATGAAAATAATATCAATAACAATAAATATATGTATAAAAAAAAAGAAAGAAGAAAAAAAAAAAAATCTTCCTCCACTATCAACTCTGTCAAAGAGAAGATATAACAAACACTCCATTCCCTGAGGGTCAATCAATATGACCCTCAACCTTAGTGTAAAGAATGCCACGTGTCTTCACAATCTTTGCAGCAATCCACAACACAAGAAATATAGCAGAAAAAGTGTAGATAGCAATGACTGTGTTTTCTTTTGGCATTTGGCACTTGTAAATGCTGAAGTTGTTGGAAGTTATTGTTAACTGGAAAAGAATTATAAAAAAAATATGAGATTAGGTTACAGGTTGCAGTTACAATTAAATCTATAACAATAACTAAATCTAGTACTAGTACTACTCTTATTTTTCTTCCTTTCTACAACTCCTTTATATTTCTTTATGTCTGTATATTCATTCATTCTTTCTTCATACCTATATCTCTATCATTATCTATTAATTTCCCTATATCTAGCTTTATCTTTAATTTTTCATTCTTTCTTTCTTTCTTTCTCTGACTTTCATTCCCTCTTTTCCTATCACATTTATTTTTTTTTTATTTCCCTCTATCTATATATATATTTTTTTCTGCATCTTTATTTGCATTTCCCTCTCTACTTCTTTGTTCAATTCTTTGTCTATCTCTATCCTTAGTTCTTTCCTTCTTTATTGCTATTGGGTAATTCCATACCAAACCAACCAACCTATATGTTCTGAATATCCCTAATTTTGATAAAGCTTTTAACTTACATTTCCCATGGTAAGAAAAGACTATGCACCAAATTTCAGTTTAATATCTGTAGTGGGGGCTGAGAAATCAGTTTCTAAAGATTTTCCCCATTCCGCCCTGACCACAACCCCCCAAACAGTAAAACATTAATAACTTTTGTTCTGGTTGTTCCATTGAGTCCAGTGATAGCTCATTTTAAAGCTCTTTTCAAGCTCTGTTCAAATATGACAGGCTCTCCAACATATCCTACATGACAAAAATACCAATCATGAAAAACCATCTTCATTTTCATTGGCTCCCTGAGGCAAATTTTATATCAAGCCAAGCCTTCAAAAGCCAAATGAAAATCAAATTCAAACACCATTACAACTTTTTAAATGGGCAGAAGAGAATATAAAGGTGTTCACTTTGCATATGCCACAAGTGAGGAAATATTGGAAACTGGAAAGAAACTTGCAAAAAGATTTCTAACAAGTAAAGCGATAGAGGGAACTCAAAAGCTTCATGCTTTTGTTTCAATACCCAACTGCAAGACAAAGATAAAAGCACGAGAGTACTTTGTGCCAACCGAAACATTTAGTATCAGTAATGAATCTTTGAAAAAATTACCAGAATGGGAAAAGATAAATGGATTTGTTATATGTGAGTATGATGGCAAATAGTGGCTTGCATATGTTCTTGAGCAATTTCAAGCAACAAGAGAAATAAAAGTAAAATTTCTGCATCCATCAGGACTAGCAACCTCTTTCTTGTTTCCAAACATACTATTGTAGCTTTGATTGCTAACTCATTTAAAAACTCTTTTTACATCTATTAGCCTTCAATGTATGTTTTTGTAAGAGATATTAGAGAAATTTCTAATATTTTCCTTTATTGTTGACATTTTGTGTAGTTACGTTTTTTCCAAAGCCCATAACTCAGTTATCCACTCTATAAATTTGTGTCATGGTTATTTATACATAAAGGAAGATTTTGATATAAAATTTGCCTCAGGGGGGAGAGGTACTAATTCGCAAGGAGCCATGTAAATGAAGATGGTTTTTCAAGATTGGTATTTTTGTTATGTAGGATATGTTGGTGAACCTGTCATATTTGAACAGAGCTAGAAAAGAGCTTTAAAATGAGCTATCACTGGACTCAATGGTCAGGGCGGAACGGGGAAAATCTTTAGAAACTGATTTCTCGGTCCCTACTACAGATATTAAACTGAAATTTGGTGCATAGTCTTTTCTTACCATGGGAACCAAGTTCATGAAATGTGGAAAGCTTCACACATTGTACGGGGAAATTTTTGTTTTCAATTTGTTGATTTCATATGGAATTACCCTACTTTTATTTTTTCTATATTTCAATCTCAATCTTTTTTCTTCACCTCTTTCTTTTATTTTTTTTCTAACTTTATTTCTTTCTATCTCTCTGATGTTCTACTTTCTTTACCTATATTCCTTTATTTCTCTATTTTTTTCTTTTCCAGGAATTACCCCTTACCATAGAAAAAGTCGGATTTTCTTTGTTTCGCCACGAGAAGGATGGAACTGTGTATTCATCAACTGTTGTTCCTTTACTCGTGTTGTGCTTCACATGGCAGCCATGGTGAGTGTGGCCACTGAGAACCAATCTCGGGGAGAGTTCTTCAAAGAGCTGTAGATGTTTAGAAAGTATATGAAGAGATGGTGATGTTATGATGATAATAATGATGTGATGTGACGCAATGTGATGTGGTAATGATGATAATGATGGTGATATGGAAATAGAAAAGGAAATGGAAATGGAAATGGAAAGGGAAAAGGAAAGAGAGGAGGGAGGGGAAGGAGGGAGGGAGGGAGGGGGAGGGGGGGAGAGAGAGAGAGAGAGAGAGAGAGAGAGAGAGAGAGAGAGAGAGAGAGAGAGAGAGAGAGAGAGAGAGAGAGAGAGAGAGAGAGAGAGAGAGAGAGAGAGAGAGAGAGAGAAAGAAAGAGAGAAAGAGAGAAGAGAGAAAGAGGAGAAAGAGAGAAAGAGAGGGAGAGGGAGAAGGGGATGGGGATGGAGATGGGGAAGGGGAAAGGGAAGTTGAAAGGGAGAGGGAGAAGGGGAGGGGGAAGTTCAAGGGGAGGGGGAAGGGGAGAGGGAGGAGGGGAGGGGGAGAGGGAGAAGGGGAGGGGGAAGGGGAGGGGGAGAGGGAGAAGAGGAGGGGGAAGTTGAAGGGGAAGGGGAGGGGGAAGTTGAAGGGGAGAGGGAGAGGGAGAGGAGAGAGAGAGGGAGAAGGGGAGGGGGATGGGGAGAGGGAGAAGGGGAGGGGAAGTTGGAGTAGGAGTAGGAGAAGCAGGAGGTAGGGGAGGAGGAGGGGAGGAGGAGGATGATGATGGGGGGGAGGGGGAGGGGAAGTTTGAGTAGGAGAAGCAGGAGGGAGGGGAGGAGGAGGAAGGGGGAGGAGGAGAAGGATGATGGGGGGGAGGGGGAGGGGAAGTTTGAGTAGGAGAAGCAGGAGGGAGGGGAGGAGGAGGTGGTGGAGGAGGAGGAAGAAGAGAAGGAGGAAGGGGAAGAAGAGGAGGAGCAGGAGGAGGAGAGAAGTGAAGAGACAGAGGAGGAGGAAGGGGAGAGGGAGTGGGGTAGTAGTAATAATAGTAGTAGTAGGAGGAGAAAGAGAAGGTGGTAGATGAGGAGGAGGAGGAGGGGGAGCAAGAGGAAGAGGAGGAGGAAGAGCAAGAGGAAGAGGAGGAGGAAGAGGAGGAGGAGGAGGAAGAAAAGGTGGAGGGAGGGGGAGGGAGAGGAGGAGTAAGAGGAGGAGGGAGGGGAAGAAGAGAAAGAGCAGGAGGAGGAGGAGGAGGAGGAGGAGGAGGAGGAGCAAGAGGAAGAGGAGGGGGAAGAGTAAGAGGAAAAGGAGGAAGATCATGAGGCATTCTAATCAAAATGGCCAGCATCCATTAAAATCCAACTTTCAACAACTCCCAGAACACCAGAGTTTGTGCAATTCATTTGTGTAGCCTAAGCACATATATGGATATATGGTTGACATTCAGAAGGGCACAAATGTAGATGTTCATTTTTTTTTTACAGGTCTGGCTTTAATCTACAAAACATTTACATTACACAATTCAAACTTCTGTGATAGAAAGACTAATTGTAAATAATTCCCATGTAAATATCACAATTAAATGAACATCTAATAAACTTTGAAATCTTTAACAAACATGAAAATTATTTCCCACTCACACTTCTATTTGAATATCAACTCACAGTTTCTGTTGCATCCCTAGATATGCATTCCCAGCGTTCTCTGAACAGTAAGTGTTTGATGTCTTCAGGTGCTTCATCCACCTCACTACAGATGCTATCTGATTCACGGTAAAGTGGATAATGCTGTTGGTAAGAATTTCATTTAAATTTTTGAGTGAAGAGTAATATCATACATTTTTATGTAATCACTGTTATTTTCAAAGTACTCTGTACTAGTCATTGCATCATTTTCATACTGAAAGAATATAATGAAAACTTTTTATTTCTCAATAACAATTGGATTTACCTACACTTTCATCCAAACTTTCATTGATACTTTATAAGGTTACAATATCATTCACTAAAATTACATAAGCATGGGTAGTTATCCATTACTTGTAATATGACAGGCTGACTATACTGTTGCAATTGTGAACTCTTCCAGTACTGACAGGCTGCCATATCACCAGCAGCACACCTGAGCTGTCCTGTAATGAAATGATGGCTTTAATGTAATGTGACTAGCAACAAAAAAATTATACATTCTATCGATTAACCCAATGGCGTACAAAAGAAAAAAAAAACTCTACGCTTAAACAAACAAAGGCGGCGCGCCGACTTTGAGCGCGTGAGTAGGGGACATCAGCCCGAATCACTGG